AATAGAATTTAATGGTATCTTTTACATGATTTAACAGAATCACAAAATTAGATTTAAAAATTTTAAAATAGGAATGGTCTTTAGATATCACCCTTGCCCCACTCTTTCATCTCATTTATTTCAGTTCCAAGAAATGAGGATAACAGAAAAGAAAGCTCAAAGGTTTGTTTTAATTTTTCAGTAGGATCAAGCTGAAATTACTGAGTTTAAAACATTTTAATCTTAGAGGAATTTTTTGGCTTTCTGAGTCCTTTAGTCTGGTGTCTGCTGCTGTGTGTGTTTCCTCACCCCTGCTAAATCCCTTTCTTCAAATTAGAATGGAATTCTATGTCATTCCATGACATGACAATTCCATGTCAACTGGCTTGACAAAGCACAGACCCAAAAGGATGAGGGTGAGTCATACTATAGGGTGACAGACCTTGCTGCAGACACCATGGGTAACACAACCTTCCAGTCACTTTTGTACTCTCTCCCTGTAGTCGGCTATGACTCTCTCTAGTGTAACTATCTGAAAGGCTTTTCTCCCTGGAGGCTCAATCTTGGTTTTTTGTTTTTTTTTTTTCAGGGGGAGGGGGCAACTTGCCATATAGCCCAAGCTGACTTCAAACTCAACACTCTGCCTGCTCTGCAAACCAACACCATAATCACAAGTATATACACTACCATGCCAGGTCCCTCCTGTCCCACTAATCTACTTAAATTCAAAGCGGCTATCATTCTCTAAGAAGTTTATCAAATTTAAGGTAATCTTCAAAATAAGCTTCAACAATGAGAAAACAGCAGTACAAAGAAAATAGGTAACCTGCTCAAATCCTCCAACTAATGAGATGTACAGTTGATAGGTGCCATCCATCCAGGTCCAAGTTATCATCCATACAATCATTTATAAAGTGCTAAAACTTCTTGTGACTTCCTTCTAAGTTACTTATTCATATATATTTACAGTTAATAGTGATTGCCTTCTGATATCTTCATAGGATACTTTTAAAAAGTCCTTTTTGCTGTTTTGGTTTTATTTCTGGCTTTTTGAAACAGGGTCTCACTCTGTAGCCAAGTCACTTGAACTTCCGATTCTCCTGCCCACCTCCCAACTGTTGGGATTACAGGTACGTACTACGACACCCAGCTTTAATCTATACTTCTTTTTTTTCCTTTTTGCAACACTGGAGGTTGAACCGAGAACCTTCTGTATGCTAGTCAGGCATTCAGCATGTCCTAAGCCTTTCTACTTATTTTGAGATAAGAATCTAAGTTGCCCCAAGCTGGTCTTGAACTAGCAATTTTCTTGCAGTGGTCTCTAGAGTAGCTAGGGTTATAAATCAGTACCACTAGATCCAGCCTAACATACTTAAAAATTCATTCTTTCTCTCCATAAATACTTAAAGTATTTTTTCTCCCTTAAAGGGTTCTACCAGTTTTCTTTGCAGAGGTTAACATATTTAATCGCCTACCTTCACAACTTTATATACACACGAATTAACGTCTTAGTAACCAAATTCTTTTTGTTGTTTTTCAAAATGTCTCCCCAAATTCTCTGATTTTTTTTCTGTTCCCATTAAACTAGTTTAAGATTTTTACATCTAGGCTAATGAATCAGCAACAGACAATTCTGGAAAGATTAACAAATGACAGGAGGAGATGTCGATGACAATGACAGTCTGTAATCCCCACTGAAAGCCATCCTACACACTAACTGTAGTCTTATGACTCACTTAAACCTACTAGGGAAAAGTCCTCAGTTCCTTCACGCAGGATCTACAAAAGCTGTCTCAAAACTTCCACAAACTCTTATCATTGAAGACTTGCCATGAGTCACCACTCCCTACACACACACACACACACACACACACACACACACACACACACACAGGCAAGCACACACATGCCTCCCTTATCTTGACTTACCTTCTATCACTGCCTTAGAATTCCTTTCTCCTGCTTGAAGTTTTTACTCTTCTATCAATACCTAACTTACGATATTACATGAAACCTTTCCTAATTATCCAGGAAAGAGGTGCCTGCCCTTACTCTATACCGGGTTTATCAGTTATCCCATCTATAATTTTACTTTGTGATCTTTTAAACCCAATGTCTGGAATGTCAGTTGCATCCATGTAAAAATGCACTTTCTGTGGCACGTCTGAGGAGACATGCAGTGTTGATAAGCTTAGCACTTTATCTTGAAGTTGATGGGTGCTCAAAAATATTTCCTGAATGAATAAAGAACTCTAGTTTTTAATAACGTACTCTCCTATAAAATGTAAGCTGCCCAGAGAAATGGGAAGAATATGTAAGAACGACAGGAGAGCCATTCAGCAAAGGAATAAGAAAGTATTTTCAGTAGTAGAAGTAAAAGAGCAATGTCTGAAGCAACAGAAAAGGAATTTACCACTCAAGCTATTCTTTGATATGCTGAATATATCATTAACCCAAACCACTGAGGAATCTCAGTTCTGATAGGCCATCCTGAGTTTATTACTCAGAAACACCACAGATGGATTCTTTCAGAAAGACCTGTCAACAAGAAATCAAACTAAGAAGGGTATTCTGGGAAACTTCCAGCACATTATTGCAACCACTGACTCATCTATTAATAAATCATTCTGTCAACTGAGGAAAGATCCTACAGTTTGATTTTATTGTCAGAAGTTGTCTGTTAAAAAAGATGAGTCACCAAACCAATAATAAGATTTTACAAGAAGCAGAGTTAACAATGAAATTTCATGGGTTCAAAGCTCTACTTTGTTTCCATTAAATTTTTCTAATGTGGAAAATGAAAGTACAATTTTATTTAGTAGAACATGAAAACCAGGATGCATAAAAACAAAATATCCTTGACTACATCCTGCCGTTTCCCCCAGGTCTCCAGCTGTGGTTTAGAATAGGAAACAAGAGATCTGCAACCCATAGTGATGACAGTAGCTGCAGAAATGGCAGCAGGGACTGGGGGCCTTTTCCTTTCTCCCCTTCCTAGAGCAAAAAAGTCAACTTTTCACTTGGGGAATGAAATTTACTCATGAGCAGAGTCCTTGCAGGGTTAGACTTACAGCAATTCAGGAAAACACTAATAGACTTCTTAATTATGCATAACTGATAATATTTAATTGTAGCTATTACTATGTTTTTAACTTTGATGAAATAAGATACATATGACGAGGGAGTCATGTATCTTATCGATATGCTTAAGTTTGTCCTAAGAACCTTCTGGTGACTGCACCAGCACCGGCTCCCTAATCAGCTACTACAGAACTGGTCTAAGTTAAACAACTTTAACAACGCTCCACTAAATGGCAAGACCTAGAGAACAAACATACATTTCTTCACCTCCTTTTCTTCATCCCTGGGAAAGAAAACACATTTTCAAGTAAGTTACTGGATTCATCTGGTCATACATTTCAAGGAAATAGAGCATGATCCAATACAAAACTGCTAGCATCAAAGAGAACTCATTGTAGCAGTAGAGTAATGGGATGGTTTTCTGTTAATTAGTGACTAGTGAAACCCATTATTTAAATATCTCAAAGCCTGTAACGATGTAAAAATTGAAGCAAGGAACTACAGAATTACCTAGTATTTTGATCAAGGATACACAGTAAACGTTCAGAGGACTAAGACAGTTTCCTTGGCCCAGTGTAAATAAACAGATGGCAGAATTTTATGATTAGAGACGCTAATACTGTGCATCTCCAGACACTACACCTGAGAAAAAGCAACAATTCTTCTTAAATTTAATTATAACCCTCCACTCAAATCACTTTCATTATAGCTTACAATTTAAGCATGCTATATCACTGAACAAATGCGATGTCTGTGCTAGGCATAACTGCAAGCCAAGGTGCAGTAACAAAAAAGTAACAGTGAAAAAAGTTGAGTTTGTTATGGAAACCACGACATTTAAACTTCAAGCCACAATCCACGCTGAAGCTCAAATCGAGAGGACCCGATTTTTCACCCATGGTGACATTCTTACTGGAACCGCAGTGTGCTTTACAACTCACACTTCTGTTGTTAGGAAGTAAGCCCGGCAGAGCCTTCATTTTTCCTTTTATCTCTATTTCTATTTTTTTTCACATAAGGAAACATTGTTTCATTTGTTTTGTCACCCATTCCATTATCTCAAACATCACAGCTTCTTACAACGAACACCACCAAATCCAATTTTCAAGTTGAAGTATCCGGACACTAAAGAAATACATCTGACCGCCCACAGCACCTCGCACCTTAAGGATTCTCCAAGTAGCAGCGGGGTGGTTCCACGGCAATTAAACACCGTGAGCTGCGGCGCTGCCCTAAGCCCACCGGTGAGGCTAAGCAGGCCTTTATTGTGCTAAAACATGCCCCAGGCTTTCAGCCTGTACGGTAAGCCGGCAGGCACCCGGTGCCACTTCCAGCCTGCCGGGCCGTCCACGGGGACAGGTCTCCGAGAGCCCCGGCTGCGGTGGCCCCCGCTGCCCCGCTCGGCGCGAGGATCCGCACGGAGG